GGCACGCACGCACACGTGCCCGGTGTGAGTTTAAGCCACTGGGTCCGGGACTCGAACCATGGTCGACTATGTGGGAGTCCAGTGACATAGCCATTATGCTAACTGCTGGTCCCAAAATAATATTTTAAAAAGTAGGGAGAGGTCATCAGATTGCTTCTGCGTAGTTCTACTGGTATGCTCGTTTGAGCTTACTTGATTAGATCTGTTTTCTAGTGGTAAGAGGTATACAACACACTCCCTCCTTCTAGATTACAGGTCTAGGAGTTGACATGTTTCAAATGAAGCTAATCAAATCTTAGATGATGTATGTAAAGCACCAACTGGTGATGGCTTTTTCTTTCTTGGAGAGGTTTTTGCTATAGGGCACATGCGCTCACCAGAGACAGAGAGAGAAAGCGAGAAATCACCCCCCGGGGGGATGGTCACGCTGCAATCCCTTCTCCTCCATTCTCCTCTTGGGACCTTGGGCACGCATGCACACGCGCCTGGCGTGAGTTTAAGCCACCGGGTCCAGGACTCGAACCGCGGTTGACTATGTGGGAGTCCAGCGACATAGCCATTACGCTAACTGCTGGTCCCTGGTGATGGCTTTTTCTTTTTTCTGGAGAGGTTTTCACTAGAGCGCGTGCGCTCACCAGACAGAGACAGAGAGACAGAAAGCGAGAAATCACCCCCCGGGGGGATGGTCACGCTGCAATCCCTTCTCCTCCATTCTCCTCTTGGGACCTTGGGCACGCATGCACACGCGCCTGGCGTGAGTTTAAGCCACCGGGTCCAGGACTCGAACCGCGGTTGACTATGTGGGAGTCCAGCGACATAGCCATTACACTAACTGCTGGTTCCCATGATGGCTTTTTCTATACCACTAAAGCAAAGTGCTGATTAAACCACTTGCTATTAAGGGTAGGTAGTACATACTACCCTGAACATAGGGGGTGGGGGGAGTAGTAGCAAGTCCAGGGCTTTAAACTGGATATTGTCAAGTACATAGCTTGATTACATACCTCCTTGTAAAAATAAGAGCCCTGACTTCATTTTTCCAATTAATGCACATGCATAATGACTCCACTATTCCTTGGTTTTATAAAATTTGATGGTATTTTATAATTTCTCTAGTGCTAACATGACTATACCAGGGTAAGGTTTCTGTTTAAAATCTACCTACGAAGTTAGCTGCAAGAAACAGCAGTCAACCTGGGAACAGGAAATGCCACTAAAGGCATATTACATGTGCATGACAAGGGTCTCATTCCTGACTTCTTAAAATAGTACCTTAGCTCAAAAATGTTAATAATGAATGAAGTAGGTTCTCAGGTCAGCCCCAAAATGTTACTGTCAAATGTGGTCTGCAGTCAGGACTTGAGAGACCTAGTACTTGAAACCAGAGTTGCGTTAACCTAACCAAGAACACGTGAATATTCATTCACTATATTTCCGCCATTTCCTGTTGTTCCTTAAAGGTCCTGGTCCTTTGTTGCATGACTAAGTCTTGAGCCTTCCCCAGATTTTTTTTAAAACCACAATT